TACGTTACGTTACGTGTCAATTGGTTAAACTTTTACAAGTTTCAAAAAAACTTAATGCAACGTAAAAAAAACCTTTATTTATATAAACCTATATTATAATGGTTCAAATTTGGCAAAAATATTTTACAAACCATACAAACTAATAAAAGGAGGGGTGAGAACTTAAAAATCTAAACTAATATTTTTTACAAAACATACATAAAATTACGTGCATGTTTTGATGTTCAAAATAAAATTGTTATAAAACAGCTGTTAGAAAATGCGCATTTTACCACAAGTCGAGCTAGAATTAAAAAGTTTTTAAACTATTTAATTCTAGCGTGGCTTGTGGTCAAAGCACATTTTCTAACAGCTGTTTTATCATAATTTCAATAAGATTTATAATGTTCATATAAGTTTTATACTTTGGTGAGAAATTTACGGTTCTAGGAAATAATAATCACAAAATAGTTTTTGATACAAGAATTTTTTAATATAAAATAATAAACTATGATATAATTAACGAAATGTAAAAAAGAAATGTTTATAATATGCATAAAAAGGAGGTATCTTAGATCTATACCTGTATTTAGATATTTATATATAAAAATATTAAAAAGCAAAAATTTTGCTAAATAATTTTAAAGGTCACAGTTTCGGATACCACTTTTCAAAAAGCTTCAAAAAGTGATCTTCAAAACAATGGCCTTTATTGCTAAAATATTGCTTTTCATCCATAAATGCGCATTTATAAATGGTTATGTTGCCGATTGCTTTTGTTGTTGTAATGTTTTGTCAAACATTAATCTTGCTTAATTAATCAGTTAATTTTGTATGTTTTTAAAAAAACTCAGGATCTGGTAGCCACTAGATTTTTGCGGCTTCACGGCTCCGACTCAGCTCCACAACCCTGATTAAAAGAATAAAATAGTAAATTTACTATTTAATTCTTTGAATAGTAAAGTCCCGGTTAGATAAAAAGTCTTCTGCATTTCAAAAAATAAATTAAAGCACTTCATTTTTTTTTTAGGAATTTAATTTTTTTTTAACCCAAATTTTTACAAGCAATTTAATTTTTAATTTTTTAAATAGCACAAAAAATTTAATTATTTCAAATTTTTCGTATAAAAAAAAAGTTAAGTTTTCAGTCAAAAATTTTTGCGCTTTTAAAAAACAAATAACAAGAAATAAAATCAATAGTCATTAATTTAATACTATAAATGCTTTACAACTACATACAATAACTTATGGGATACAACAGTTGGGTTGATATTATTTATATATTTTTACTTGTGGGTTTAGCTTAAAATTTTAAGCTAAACCCACAAGCAAAAATATATAAATAATATCAACCCAACTGTTGTTGGGTTGATAATATTTATATATTTTTTGGGTTGATATTATTTATATATTGACCGCGGCTAATTCAAAAAACATTTTAGAAACACACTAAATAAAAAATATTCTAAAAAAGTGAAATTAATTACATCAAAACTTCTTAACAAATGTTTTTATATTAGCAAAATGATTTTAAATAAAGTAACAATTTACTAAAAAAAAGTTTTGTTTTTTTAAATATAATTGACAGTTATATATATATTTTTAATTTAAAACATATAAATTGTTTAAGTGTTCATTTCTAAAATAAATCTTATTAAAAAATAAAAAATTGTTTTGTTTTTATAAACGATGACATTCTACGACTACAAAAGTCCCTTTAACGAATTTAAACATAAGAATTAAAGTTCATGCATTTAAAAAGATAAACAAAATTTCGTTAAAAAAAAAAGTCTTAGAAAACCGTTACAATTTAATAAGTTTGATCTTAAATGCTTTTATATTATCGAAACGCTTTTAATGAAGTAAAAAAAAAACACTTCTAATTAATTAAAAAAAAAGTATTTATAAAATGTTTTTTTCATTTTACTTATATAACTATGTATTTTTTATGAGAAATATTTAACTTTTAAACATATTAAATAAATAAAAAATATATAAAAATGTTGAAACAAAGATTGAAAACGTTTTTTAATGCCCAAAACTAAATAGAATAAGCATTTTAGTTTGATGAGTTTTGTTTTAGTTGCGTTATATATATATATATTTATTTTTTTTGTGTTTTTGCTTTAACTAAGTTTTTTTTTTTTCTCTTTCGTTAATATTTATCATTTTTTTAAATTTTTTATTCAGATAAGTTTAGGTAAGTTTTTGTAGCGTGTTTTTAAATTTTAAAAACATGCCATGATCAAATCATTAAAACATTTTTTTTTGCGTGGTCATATAAAGACATGAAATCGCACATCTTCCTGTAAAAGCCTGCATCAGGAACTTTTTTGATTTAGAGTTATTTGCATCTATGGAATTATATGTATCTATGGATGGGAATTTATTTTTTCGGAAAAAGTACTTCAGATTTTTAAGATCTTTTTTATCTTTTTTATAATATAATTTTTTCAATGTCTATTAAATTGGCCCACAAGTTACTAAAAAATGTAAAATTTTAAAATGCACAATTTCAAAAGACAGGCTAACACAGAAAACATTTACTTTTTGTTGGGTTACAAAAGTAAAAGTAATATATGTAAAAGTTCAAGTGTTTTATAGCTTTTTTAAGCAAATGCATGTACAATCCCCACCACGTCCCTGGTGGTAGTGTGTTAACTTGTTTCTCAGCGCAGCAACCTTGTTTGTCAAGTTTGTTTTTTTGAAGTTATAAAGTTGAGAGAGGGTTGTAACCAGAGATGTAGTCAAGACAGTAAAGGCCAAGACATTTGGGCTCAAGACCAAGACCAAGACTGAATACTTCAAGACCAAGTCCAAAAATTTTAAAGATTTTACAAGACCGGAATCAAGACATAGGTTCTAAGAAGTCCAACACAATAAAACTTATGCTCACATATGCAAGGGGTAAACAGGTTCTATCTGTTGACCAGCTTTGCACCCCTTCATTTTTTAGGTTAGCGCAGATGTATTTATAATACATTGTTTGAAGTTTTGAATGTTGAATTTTGGATCTTCTTAACTAATTGCATGGGTTACGCTTGAGTCTTTGTCTTTAGGGTTAGGGTTAGTCCAAAGTCAGAAATTAAGACTTGAATACACAGCACATTTTATTATCTCTTAATAAGGGTACAGCTCTAGAACTCAGTTTTATGTTTCTGAGGCTAACTGGTAGTCAGGTTTCCTTAATTTTGTTGTAGCTCTCAGAGAGACCAATTCTATCAACAGCTATAAAATATTAGAGTACTAGCAGTGCCATGTTGCGCATGGATGGTGTCCCTGTTTGTACTTTTGGTGTGTATTATTGAGGCTACATTTGGAGCATTTGTTATGGCTTAAGGTTTATTAATAGAAATGAGGCAATTGTTTGAACTATTAGATAGTGTACTGAGCACTATCTGTGCTTTGAGTAAAGTTTTTTAGTCAATTTAAAAAACGACTAAAGTATCAAAAACTATAAAACATTAAAAACCATTGTAATAACCAAGCTTTCTAAATCTTTTGATCACTAATATTCATGGTCTTTGAAGTAAATTTTCTTCTGTTGAGTCTTATCTCTTGATAAGAAAAGTTCATCAGATCTACATGCTTTTTGTGAGTCGAAATTTAGTTCAGCTGTCTCATCTAGTGATGAGAAAGCTGAATTCAAATTAGATAGTGTTGATGGCTATTTTCCTTTAAATCGTAAAGACTCCAATATTCAAATGCTTGGCCTAGGCATTTACATTCATAAGAATTCACCCATTTGTCGGGAAACTAGGTTTTTATCCACATATTATTCTTTTATGTGCTTTTGTTCAGCTCCACTTTACTCTATCACCTTTCACTATATTTTATATCATTCTCCTTCATCTCAAGACTGCACTCTTTTTGATGTTATTTCTGATCAAATTAACCAAGCCCTCTCTTTATCCTTAGGGCAATATCGTTGTTGGAGGTAAATTTATTGATCATCACACTGAATGGCTTGGTTCTAGTGTCAGCTGTCTCATCTAGTGATGAGACAGTGACTCTGCAGAAGTTAAGGCCCCCAATTTTTGCATATCTCAATCTCTATCACAAACAGTCAACACTCCAATTTACTTTCCAAACAATCTGAATCATTTACCTTCTCTACACAATTTATGTCTTGTTTCTAATTCTAGACAGTGCTCAGTTTCTTCACATTCACCCTTAGGTGCTTCTGATCACGGTTTGATCTCTTTAAAACTGTTATCTCGTTCTTCTTTATTATCAGAATCCCCCTATCATGATACCTCTTTAGGGTGATAGTTGTTCCGGTTTTTACGTTAGAGAGCGCAGCGCTTAAATAATTTTAAATAGTTTAAGCGCTGTACTCTCCTACATAAAAACGAGGACAATGGTCACCCTGTACCTCTTACAACTATTTTAAAGCTGACTGGAACTCTTTGGGTAGAACTCTTTCGCCTTCCTGCTGACAAATGTACTACTTATGTAACTTCTCGAATTCAGGCTGGCATGGGAATCTTAAATTCCCTCTCAACATTTCCAAGTCAAAAGCCTTATTCTACTCAATGTTTTTTTTCTCATTATGCTGCTTTAATTTCCAATCATAACCATTACTTCCATAAATATCACCGCAAAAATTATCCAGAAAACAGACTTGTTTATTAATGGTAGAAACTACTGTAAAAAAAGTTTTTTCTGACTAGACATAGACACTGACTGATATTTTTTAAAAAATGCGCAATTTATAAAAATAAGTTGATTGTAATAAAAAAAAATTCTGGAAATTTTTACCAAATTTTAGGAAAATTTCATTCCTACATTATATATTAGTTTTAGATTTAATAAAAATTTAATTGTAATGAAGCAAAGAAACCTGGTGCCAACTCTACCTCTAAAATTTAAATTTAAATAACTTTAGTTATTTAAATTTAAATTTTTAATCCCTTTTCAATAAATTACTTTAAAATATTACACAATTAGCTTTTGTCAACTCAAATCAATAATTATTTCTATAAACCATTATTTATTTAAAAAAGGAAAAAAACACTTACCAGCTAGTTTTCTCAATTGATTCCAATTCACGATAAAGAACTTGTTTAGTACTAGAGTAAATTGTTTGACCAATCTCTTCAAATTCCATTCATCTATTATATTTAGTCAATAAGGTTTAAAAAACTAAAGCTTTTCATTTATTAACTCTGAAAATGCTATCTAAATTAAAAATTAGATCATGAGTGAATGGAACAAAAAACCTATATTTTAATTTTTGTTTTCTTAACAACTTATTTTATTTAAAACACAGTTAATGTTTTCAGATTGTTATGTCTAATTTATAAAAATTCAAAAAAATCGAAAAAAACTGGGCATTATCTAGGCAATCTTAACATTTTTATTAAGAGAAAACCTAGCTTAGTAATTTATTCAAGCAGCATGCAACAATTAAATACTTATGAACAGCATGCTCTAACCAGAGCTGAGATTTGATAAAATAGATTTCAAAAAATGAATGAAAAAAAAAAATGTTTGAACAATAGTTATCTATAGAAACTTTTAGTGAAATGGAAAATTTATGAAAAAATTTGTCTAATAAGTAAATATAATAATTGTTAGGTGTGAAAACATAATGGGAGTAAACTCTATCGTGAATTGTGTGACTATTGCACTATTATGAGACATTTAAGTGACAATAGTCAATTCTTGTACAAGAATTGACTATTGTCACTTAAATGGCTCCTGCATCCTCTCCCCCTCCTTTCCAACTCGTTTTTATTAAAAAACAGGATTTTTTTTTATAATATAAAAACAGCAGTTAATCTCTTTTTATGTGTTAAAATGATAAAATATTTAGGGGTGTCTATGAACGCTTTTTGAATACTTTTGCATCAAAGAAGAAAAACTGTTGGCCTAATCGCTATTTTATTTTTAACAAAACAATACACTATTCAACTTTCAGGAAAAGTTATGAGTTTGTTTAGAAAATACCTTTATTTCTGATTTTATATGATAAAAGCATAATTCTTTACAGGGTCGATTCGGGGTGACATTGAATACTGCATAATTTTATTTCTAATATTATTTAGGTTATGGCTAGATTTACACGTTCTAAAGAAGATATTAGAGCCGAATGAGGAGTCCTAACAGAAAAATCGGGATTTAATATTTTCTGTCTGACAGAAACTTGGTTTCATAGGAACACGATTAGGAATGGCAATGCCGGGATCCCGAAATCCCGGGAATTCGTAGAAATTGTTCATCCCAAAATCCCGGGATTAGTCTCCAATATTTCCAGGGATTTCGGAATCCTCAGAAAAAAGGAAAAGTTAATAAATTTCAGCTTATGATTGTACTTTAGTAATTTTTATATCGTCTTTGGTATAGTACTATAGTAGCTGTTTGGTTGTGTAACAGTTTATTCTCTTTGCAATATTTTCCTTTTAAAGTTCTCTTTTTGTGTATTTTATTAAAAAAAAAAACTCAAAACATTATTGCTCGTCTGCATATATATATATATATATATATATATATATATATATATATATATATATATATATATATATATATATATATATATATATATATATATATATATATATATATATATATATATATATATATATATATATATATATTTACACTAATAATGAGTAATTTTAAATTTACCCGGGTAATACCTGGGTATTACCCGGATAATTTTAACAATTAGATGTTACAGCAGCCATTAAATAACCTATGGGTGTAAATTTAGTCAAAAAAACAACAAGTTTCGGAAAATCTAAAATGAAGCAGTTTTTTAAGTTTGATGTACCAATCTATTTCTTATTTTCGTGGCAAGATTTCTACTTTTACTTCTTTGCGAACTTCACAAAATCTTCGTAGCATTTTAATAATGCTATTCCATCACGTTTTACAATCTAAAAATAAATCTATCCAACTATGGCGACTTTCTGAAGACTTTTACAATTTTACGAATTTTACCAACAATAGCACCAATATCAAAAACTAGGTTTGTCTCAGTGCCTAATTCATCACAGGCCTCTATTGTTTTTTTATTAATTCTCTTCCTCTTCAGTTCATAATTTAAATTTTTTATCATAAATTAAATCATCATTTATCTTATAAGGCCTCTAAAGTATATCGCGAACTACATGTGCAAGACAGCCAACATAAATGGGACTGGTCTTTTTCCCTAATTTCATGATAACATTCGCACCATCAGTGATTGTTGCTATAATATTGTCCGAATCCAATTGGAATTTAGACAATCTTGAATTAAAAAGTTGAATAGCTTTTTTCAGTGTTCATGCTTCCGTTGACACGGATCATTCCTAGAGATTGAAAGCCATCTAAACCATGTAAGTTCAGATTCATAAAATAACGGTTTCTGACTGAAGTGGATTTGTCAAAGTTTATAGAAAAACAACCTTCTTCTTCTTAAATTTTTTGAATGTCTTGCTTAATTATGGTGATAATTTTACCATATTCTGCGATAAATTGATCTCAAACATCTTGACGGCTTTTTGAATTATATTTTTAAAATTACCCGGGTAATTTTAAAAAATGACCCGGTTAACGGGTAAGATAAAACTTTCAAATTGCCTGAGGTAATACCCGGGTAGAAACACTGGCTCTTTCCACCAGCAAACACTTATATTTTTGTTATTTTTTATAATATGCTAGTTTTAATATTATACTATATATAATATATAGTATAATATTAAAACTAGTATATTATAAAAATAAAGAAAATTTAAGCGCTTGCTGGTGAAAGAGCAAGAGTTTTTAATAGAAAATTTAATTCCATTTTTATATCCATTCATTTTAATTTTCAAATGTGTGATTTATGAAAATGGTCTATTTACGAAAGTTTTTTTAACGTCATGCATATTTATACAATTTTTTAATTTTTATTTTTATTTATACTGTGTTACCAAGTTAAGGTTTTTTTTTTTTTTTTTTTTTTTTAGTTTATATATATTTGCTGTTTATATAATAAGAAAATATAATTACAAAGAAACATTTACATAGAAAAAAAAAAAAGATTTATAAAAACAGGCAGGGTCTCAAAGAGGATACGGATGACTAAAGTCACCACAATCTTTTCATAGAGCCCCTATGCGGGCTTTACAAGTTTAAAATAGAATAAGATTGTTAAAAATACAATTGTACAATTCCAATATAATAAAAAAAAAAAAACTTTCATAAATATTTACATTTAAAGAAAGAAAGGAAATAGTATTAATGTAATTTTAACAATAGTCATTTAAAAAATACTGACATTGTTTTAAATATAAAAAAAAGATACAATTTTTTTTTTCAAACTAAGAATAATGGAATTCGATGTTTATTTAGAAAAATTGCAAAGTTATTTATAATGTTTAAAAATTTCATTTTTTTTAGAAACTTAAAGGAGTTTAATGATAATACCGTATTTAAATGTTTGGTTTTTTGAAATGTGTTTTATAGTTTCGTTCCACGGTATGCAATTCCATATTAAAAATACTTGCTCCTAATTCTAGGCAATTTATAAGTATTCCATTGGTTTATTCTAAGAGAGTAATTATTGTTAACAGAGTTGTATTGTTTTATAATTTATAATACTTAGGTTTATTAATTTTTAAAAGCCTTAGATAAGTTTTAATACAAATTAAGTTAAAACATGATTCCACTTAATTTTAGAGGTTTATTAATGTATTAAATATTTTAGTTATATTATCATTAAATTAACCATTTTTAGGTGTTTGATGAGTGCTTAAAAAGTATTCAATTGCGTTTGCGTTTTTTTCTATTCAATCCCGGGATTTTCCGGGGACAAATTTCTCAATCCCGAAATCCTGGGTTTGAAAATTTCCGGGATTCTTGCCAACCTTAAATACGATAAACTCAAACTTTCATTTATCAGGATATAAGTTCGTCCATCAACCAAGAGAAAACAGTATTGGCGGCGTATCTACTTTTGCCCATAACTAATTAATTTTTAAGCTTGTATATAAACTCAGAGTAAATTTAGTGAATTAAATGTGTGAATTGTGAGTCCTTTAATTTAAAAAATAATTAATAAATCAACAAAAATAGATTTATAACAACGTTATATAGGCCACCAAATGGTAATTACAACAAATTTAAAAACCATTTAAACTTTTTGTTACCAAAGCTCGTAAAAAAACACGTGATTGATATGTCGTTGTCATGTCCTGATATTTTAATAACTATTGAAAATATTATTACTAATAATTATCTTAGAGCTAAAAGCTAAAGTGGTATTATAAAACACGAGATGATGTTTTCCTAGCTTTTTAATTAATGATTCTCAACTGCAAATGTTTTTCTACCTCTTACATAAGGTAAAAAAACTTGGTTTTGCTACCTCTTACATGAATTAAATTAGTAACCGACTGATTGCAATAATGTAAATAATGGCTATGATTTTTATATGAAAATATGAAAGGCCTTTCTAAAAATTTAAAAAAAAGTTATCAATTTTAAAAGTTTGCATAGTCCGTGGATGACAAAAGAACTCATTAAGTCGTCAGAATGAAACAAAGACTGATCCTAAACTTAAAAAAAAAAGAACTAAAAAATTGAAATAAAATATAAAAAAGAAAAACTCCTTTGAAAAGTTAAAAATAAATCAAAAACAAGTTACTATTCTTTATTGCTTAATAAAGCTTTTAGAACTTCAAGAAAAGTATGAAGCGAAATTTAAAAAGTAACGGAAGTGAAAAGGTAAAATTTAATAATTTGCCTAAATATTTGCAAGCAGGTGTTAATAAAGGCGATATAGTTGAAAAAAAAAAAAATTGTAGAAACATTTAATGGTTTCTTTATAAACATAGGAAAAAAACTTGCTGGTCAAATTCCTTCTGGAAACAAGACATTTGGATCCTTTTTAAAGATATCAGATTCTTTCTGATATCTTTAAAAAAGGATTCAAATGTCTTGTTTCCAGATGAAGTAGAGTGTTCCGTTGATGAACTTTTGTTAGCGTTTCGAAAATGTGAGTCTAGATGAAATTAATCCTTATGTTGTAAAGTGCTCTCTGATATTATAGAGAAACCTCTTTTTAAAAATTTTTAATCTTTTCCTTAAAAACGGCATCTTTCCTAATCAAATAAAATTAGTAAAAATAATTCCAATACATAAAAGTGGTAATGACTTGATAAAATCAAACTACAGGCCAATTTCCATACTTTCCAGCTTTTCCAAAATACTTGAGCGTATTATGTATAACTG